GAGGGAGCAGAAAGGGTTGGAGAAATAGGGCTTTAGCATTTGCTATAATCTTACACTTCTTTTATAGGAAGCAAATATGTCTTTTTGATGAAATGCACCAACTCTGGAGGCAGATTCCCTGGGTTCCAAACAATTTGTGACCTTGGGCAATCTCAGTTCATCTCCCTGTGTACATCAGTTCCGTATCTGTAAAATGTGGAAAATATACATCTTGCTGTATAAGATTAAATGAGTCGATTATGTGAAGTGCCTACAACAGTACCTGACACATGGTAAATGTTAACATTGTTATTATCATCAGCCTCATCTGTGACTATCAACTACAAAATCTGGCCGGAAGGCACTGGAAAAAGAAGAGGTTGTAGGGGGTGGCATCTGATCTATTTTCTACACTCCCATTTCAAATATAAATTCTATTTTTGTAAATGGTGAGAAATGACCAAAATCATAAGCGAGAAAGCAGTATAAAGTAGAAAAATAAAGTTTCAGTCTTCTCTTAAATTTTCAGAAACATGAGACAATACAGGCTTTGGAGTTTGATATTTATTTTTAGCAGGAATATGCTAATGGTGATGACATCGTTAGAAGATACGCCCATGTCCAATATCTGCAACAGAAGCTTGATAGAAGTTAAAGAAATCATACTAAAACACAAAAACTGTATGACATTACTTACCCTTTAATTCTGCAGACAATAAAACCAATAATAATATGTATAAGATTGAAGTTTCATCACAAAATCAAATACTGGCAAGTTGACTATCAAATTCATCTTTAAAAAAGAAAATCCATCTTTTCTTTTCCACACAGAAGTGAGCAACCTCTTCAAAGTGCCAACAGTTATCTAAGGGTGTTTATGTGAGCAGAGTAGGAGCAAATTTAAGAGGGGTACTTGAGGGGTAGTACTAAATTGAGAGCTGGGAAGTTGGGGTGGGAGTAATCTCACAGGTAGCAATGGCAATCTAATCTAAGCACCATTTCTGGACAATTAGAGAGTGCTGAACCAAGAACTAAGTGCTAATAAAGCAACTTAATCTGAGTAGAACCATGAGTTACCTATGAATTTACAGTGAACTGTCCACAAATAAAGGGATCCACACAAATTAGAATTTCTCCCATATACTATTAGAAGAAGTAGTTGCCACGGCAGTAAACAATTTAAACAAGAACTACTCAACTGAAAGTTTACTTTAAATAAAATTAAATCTGGCTCATCTACCCCTTAAAATGGCTACTTTAATGAAAGGAAAGATTAGTGTGTTTCTTTTTATTTCCTCCTACACCCTCAGACTTCTCATCAACAGTATCAATCATTACTTAATTTAAAAGAGCAATGAATTGCTACCTAAGGGTGTGAGCTGGGAGTGGGGAGTGGGAATATGTTAAGCATCAGAATCAGGGGTGAATAAGGGAGTAATATGAAAACTTAATGATACACCTAATACACTGAATGTACCCAAAACAGAAATTAAATAAATCCAACCACAATTTACTGTAGTTAACCCCACACTTTATACCAACTGCTATTTATCCTATTAATTTTGTGCCTGAAATAAGGGTTTGAGCTGGTAAGACAAATCACTATTACATGGAATTTCACATGAATAATTTTAAAATGCAATCGATTCTGCTAATTCTAAATTTCTTTAGTTAGGTAGGTTGATTTGGTTCAAGCAGAAGAAAATCCATTAACACAAGGAGCTGCTTACCTGAGCCACTGCCTAAAAAGGCCTGTGGTTAAAAAGATGCAAAATGTACAGGTACATTAAAATATTTTAAAATTCCTATCAAAAAGTAAGTTAAATAAATAAGTACTAAAGAAGGAAAAGGTTACGCACTTCCAATTTATGCTCTTTCTCTGCAAGGGCTTCCTTTTGACAGCGAAGAAAATCTGCTAACATTCGAGTGAGCTGCTTCCTATCATCTATTTCTGCCGCCAGTCTGCCATTGTAATCTGCCAGCAACATACAAGCATCCTCTACCATTTTAGAAAGCCTTTCTCCAGATTCTTTATCTAAGAAAAGCACAGGATAATAAAAAATTATACAACAAAAACAATGACATATGCTGTTCCCTCATCCCAACTCCAAAAAAAATTCTGCATCACCGTTTCTTTTCTTACCTGTTATTTTATCTAGCAGGGATACTTCTTGGACTTCAACAGGTAAAGAAGCTATCCTCTGATGAACTGCTGCATCACCTGAAGCTGCATTTTCTAGATCTTGTAATGCTCTAACGAGATCTAGAGTCTAAAAAGTACACAACTTCAGAACCAAAATAAATGAAGCTTAAAGAAATACAAAAGACGTGAAATTTATTTCATATTCTTTAATCCTTATGGGCTATTTACTAGTTTAAAGTTTCTGATATAAACTGCTTTTAAGGACAGTCCATTTCTTGTATGTATTAAGAAACAGAAACTAAACTATGTTAGGTGTTGAAGATATAAACAAGGCTGGGTGCAGTGGCTCATGCCTATAATCACAGCACTTTGGGAAATCAAGGTGAAAGGATTGCTTGAGGCCAGGAGTTTAAGACCAGCATGGGCAACGTAGAAAGACTCATCTCTACAAAAAAAATTTTAAATTAGCCAGGCATGACAGTGTGCATCTGTAGTCCCAGCTACTCAGGAGGCTGAGGCAGGAGGATCATTTCGGCCCAGGTACTTGAGGGTTACAGTGAGCCACGATCGGGCCACTGTACTCTAGCCAGGGCAAAAGAGTGAAACCCTATCTCTAAATAAACACATTCATACATCCATATTAAATACATAAATGAATGAAAACAAATGAGACAAGGCCCTAGACCTTAAAGAGCTCACTCTAATGGTGGAGACAGATAGTATAAAAATAATTACCTGATTATTAAAACGAGTTAAGTCATTGATTTATATGCCAAATATATCAGTGGTAAAAGGGAATGTAGGCTATAACTTCAATGTAGAGAAGTTTTATGTATACAAGTTTTATGTATGATATACGCATTATCATTGTACATAGGACAACTTTTTAAATATAAAACTGAATATTGGGGGCAGGGGGATACAAATTATCTACTACAACACAGAAGAGTCTCCCAGATTCCATTTCTACATGCTGTAAGTAAAGCACAAGAGAAAGGCAGTTTTGGAGTATGTTCAAATATGATATCTTCAACTATCTATGGCTTGTTAACAAGATCCTTAAAATATTTCATAATTTTGTATATCTGATGACTAATATTTATATATTGCTTAGCTGGTATACAAATTATTTTATCA